AGTGTATTAAAGTGCTATCTGAAGTTGTTATCCTGTTTTGGCAAAAAAAAAAAAAAAAAAAAAAAAAAAAAAAAAAAAAAAAAAAGAAAAGAAAAAGAAAAGAAAAAAAAAGTCTAACTACAGACAGTTGTTTCTAATGATCAGAGATCTATTTTAGTAGTCAACTGAAGGTTTAGTTGTGAGCTTCAGATTTTGTGAACTCCAGATGTTGTGCAGTGTTTTTTTTTTAAAGAACAAAAGGAAAAAAATTAAAAAACAAAAACAAACAAAAAAACAAAAACAAAAAACCCCAACCCAGAAGAATATGTACACTGGAACCGTAGTGATAGCTTTCAGTATTGTAAAGAGATTGTTATATACAAACCTTTTTGCTGTTTATCCTGTATGTAATAAAAGTCCTTTCTAGATCCTATGTGAAAAGAAAAGTGGAGCGGCTCTGAATCTTCAGCATGTTTCCTCATCAGCGAAGACTTGTGTAATGTAAATTGTGCCATGTTATTAAAAAATGTGAACTAAACTGCCAGGTGCTTCTTTGTGTGGAGTGCCCCATCATTGCTATAGGCAAGAAATCCTATTTCTTCCCAAGACTGGGCTTTTGTTCCTAAGAAATAAGCAGCCATGAGAAAAATATAAAAGCAACCCTCTATGGGCCACGCTGTAGAAATAACCCTGGTATTATAAGGAGGGAGAAAGATAGAGGAGGACAGATCTTCGGTGAAGTCCCAATTGTTAAAGGTATTTGAATGCCTGCCTTACTCTAAGTGAAGCTAGTGCCATTAATCAGGTGCTCAAAGTTAGGCAGGTGCTTAAGTACCTTGCTGAATTAGAGCTCTCGTGTAAACTGGCACAGTTCCACTCAGGTCACTGAAGTGTTGCCGATTTACACCAGCTGAGGATATGGCCTCAAATGTTTTCCCTCCATTAAAATCAACATTTTGTGCATATTTGCATGAGAAATGTCAGTTCATAGGAGATGGTTTTTAATCTGTGAATATTTTTTATGGCTTAAAAATGGTTCAGCCCCACTTAGCATGGTTCTTTCCTGTTGTCATTCTGCTTAGAAATGTCAGCTCCTGTGAATGTCTGACTTTCAGGTTTGTTAGAACCTTTGCAAGCCTTTAACCAGGTAACTCTTGGCAGGAGTAATTGTGATGCTGAAATTTGTCATCTTGAACAAGACCTAATCAATCTGTCCTCCCTCTCTAATACACACAGCACATCTCTCTTTGTAAGCATAATTGCTGTATACAATTGGTGTATACAAGCATATGTGCAAGTCATTTTGCTTGTCAAATTATACTCTTGTATATCTTTCCTCTCGTGAAACATTATTGTCCAAATTCTACTGTTACACTCATGTAAATCTGATGTTTAATGCACGTAACACTGGATTTTCACCTGTGTAACTAAGAGCAAAAGATAGCCCCATCACTTATTTAAAATTCAACTTTGTGTGAACTCTGCATATTCTCAGCAGCATGTACAGTTGTTGCATAACGAAACAAAATTGCTTCCTTTTCTCTTTGTAAGGAAATGGTCTTGGTCTTTTGCATGCGTATCATTAAAAATCGTTCTGACTTTCTGAAGGAAGCCAGAGTCCTAGATGGATCGGGAAGAATGGAAACTACTGAAGGAAGCTTGTGGAAATTGAAGCATCTACGTGCACAAACCCATGGGGAAGGGATCTCAGAGCGAGCAATGCCTAATGACTTTACATTTACGTAGAGTCTTTCTTCCAGACATATCCCAGAGAGCACTTTGCTAAGAGTCATGGGAGCTTTCTCAGTGATTTCAGTGGAAGATAGGTTGATCCCTGACTGATTGTATAATCTGTGATCTCAGTCATGTGAGGTGCAAAGTATGTTCCTGCTGATGACCCTCACTTTCTACTGAAGCCAGTGAACACTCAATCCGTATCAGGTGTGGCACTCACAAGAATGTGCCCTTACATATAAGAGATGAAATGAGATTTAATATGTTTTTAAAATAAAAGTCTGAAATGGAGAAGTTAGCAGCTGCTGTAGACAAATTAATCATTTTAGCAGAGTTTCTCCATTCAAGACCCACCGCTCTTAAATCCTATTTTTGGACTATCTAACATTAAAGCAATAAGGTTTATGCAAAGCCCAGTAAAAATAGCTGTGAAAATTATATGGACCGAAAGGGTATCCTGTATCATAGAGTATGAAACAAGCCAAGTGTAGAACATTCTTGTGTCAATGGACTACTATGCCCACACAACACACAATCTTGGATTCCTTTGTCAAACCTCTCTCCCTCCCAGCAGTTTGTTGTTTCGCAGGCTTTGTCACACCACCAACTGGGATGCCAATTAATGCAGCGTGTATAGGAAGTGATTCTTTGAGAACAGTCGTAGCATTTGGTCCCTGATGCAATGTTTATCTTGTTCCTCGCATAATTATTTTACTGTCTAATTCTCTTCATTGTCTTTGATTACTAGGTGTCTTGTTTGCTGCTATCCAAATCTTATTGATACTGTAATTTACTGTTGGCCTTTTTTTGCTGATGATGGTTCCTTTAATAGCTCATCACAGTTAAAGCCACTAATACGTAATAATTACAATTTGGGGTGATTTTTCCCCCCCCCAAAGACCCTTGCTATTTACGGTAGGTTTTTGTTCCTTATTGCCTCCATCCAGAGGGGGTAGTGAAAACTGGAGTTGAGGAGAGACAAGTGAAGGTTTGGTAATTTTTTTGCTAGTGGCTTGTTACATAAATATATATCTTGGTACCATGCGGGAGCAAGACTGTGTACTCTAACTAACTCTCTGTACATGCAGGTTATCTCTGCTGAAGGCTGCTTGAGGTGCTGGAACAAGGTAATAGATTTTTAGTAGTATTCCATTTAAAAAATAGTTGACTTGCTTAATCATTTTATGCCCCAATTCTCCATCTGTAAAATACTTTTCTCCCATGTGTTGTGTTGTCTCCTTAGATTCTACCCTACAGGGTTTATAATCCCTCTCTTACTATGTATCTAGCACTATGGAGCCATAATTTTGAATGGAATGTCTATGTGCTACTGTGATATAAATAATTATAATTAGGTAGCACCAGGAACTCCAGTAGAGCTTGGGGCCATATTGTTGTAGGCATTACACACACACACACACACTCTCTCTCTCTTTCTCTTTCTGCAATCTAAATCACATTCCATTTTCAGCATGACATATGCTGCTCAGTTTTCTTGTGCGTTTGATCCAAGCCCAATCCCTTGCCATATATGATGCATTAAAATTATTACTGCACAATGTAAGATAGTTGCTTGCCAGAGAGAATAAACCCTTCTGCATAGTGTAGTAGGTCAGGCATCTATATTAAATGCACCCACTTGGGCACAATAGTGATGGGCACTTAAGCAACAAACAGCAGAACATAGGACTATATAAACCCCTTGCTGCCCAAACCCTCCTTTCTAATTGCTTGCTAGTGCCCCTCCGTGCTCTGATAATCATATTTGGTGGTACCCAAACTCTTCAAGTAATGGGGATTCTACTATGTCATTATCCCCATTTTACAGATGAGCAGACTCAGGAAGGCAAGGTAAGTGATTAAGCCACAGACAGGAGATAGTGTTAGAGTCCAGTAGGAAATCAGGAGTTCTAAATTTCCACTTAGAACCTACTCCTCCACCCTACTCTGTGTCCCCTCCATGGACCCACCCAGCTCCCTCTTTCTCTCTCTGGATTGTAGTGATTTTTACAAGAAAACCATCTGTTAACATGAAAGGAAGAGTCCATTGTATTTATTTAAACACAATGGGCTCCAGTGATGTAAAATTACCAGCAGAACTAAAACAGCTTAAAGGGGCCCTAGATTTGCTTCTGGAAATAGTGTGATGGAACTCCAGGCAGCCTGATCATTCCTTTTTATAGAGGACAATACAGTAGATGCCAGGCTTAGTGCAGCATTTAGTGGAGAAGTAGAAATGATTTACGTGTTTGAGTTGATAAAGGGTTGTAATCATTCTGTCAGTAATTTACGGAGGGCAGATACAATATAGTATAGTTCCCAGCATGGATTTGTAAATTATCAACATGTCTGAGCGTTCAAACCAAGTCACAAGCTAGCGGTCTGTTTATTTAGATTTATTTTTTAAAAAGTCTATCCTAGGCTCTAGGCACCTTTTGCCATAAATTTAAAATACAATCACAAGCATGATGGCAGCAGCTGCTTTGCACAGTAGGACCAGAAAATAATTAAGCAACAGTTAAGCGGAACCTCAAATATCAGGTATCAAATATTACTCTGATCACAAACAGCTCTCAGCCTGCTTTTTTCCTCCTTGAAGCCCTGATCCATCTCCCACTGAAGTCTATGGGAGATTTTCTTTGACTTCAGTGGGAGTTGAATCAAGCCCTAAAAGCTTAGGATGCAGATTTCTAAAGGTATGTAGGTGTCTAAAGATGCAGATAGGCATCTAGTGAGATGTCAATCTACGTCTATAGGTACCTAAATATTTTTAGAAATCTGACCCTGGGTACATGGATAGGCCAAGTCTACAGGATATTTCAGATGAAAGGCCTGAATTTTCAGCTGTGGCTAGTGATTTTGGGCGTGTCCAACCTGAAATGCCTCGAAGGGGCCTGGTTTGCAGAGAGTGAGT